CATCCTCTTAACAGCAGCAACGAAGCATCAAAGCCTCGTTGTCCGCAAGCATGATCTCACTTTACTTCGTTTTGGCTGTCGGAGCGATCAAGTACATCGGTTCCACAAATTCCCTGCACTTTCAAATCCAGCCAAGCTCCAAACAACCACCACTCTGCTGTCTGCCAACTCTCCGGCAATCGTATTATTGTCAACTGCAGTTTTAGCATGCATGCATTCATCCCTCGCATGAGCGCAACGCCTTCGGTCACAAAGATGGACACTGTCGATGCCACTCATGCAGCTGCAATACTCACACCGAAGAGCACGAGCAATGCTGCCGAAATATGCCGAAGATAGCTTGTAGCTTACTGAGTGCCATGTATGCTCTCCAGAACAACGCACCTAACAGCCTGCATTTCATCACTAACCGCCTCAATTGCTGCATAAGAAGAGATGACAACTGGACACCGTCTCAGGCAACGCTGTCATATGAGGAGGACAAACCACCAGTCATCGGACCACTCGAAGCGCCTCTCGTGTATGGCATGGGCAGCAGTAAGTCCCTGGACAAACGTGGTGTTGTGTAACCTTCCACCGTACATCGCTTGCCGAGACGTGCTTCACTACCAAATCCAACGTCAACTTAATTGACATCTGGCCTTGACAGCCTCGACACGTCCACACAAACAAGTGCAACCAAGTACTAACCCAACAAATCTGCTCTCTGTACTCCGCCGATGACAGCTGTCGTGTTCAGGGGACAACAACGTCAAACAGCGCATCCACACAGGCGGTGCGTTTCATCACGGATAGGCAACCACTTCACCTACCCTGCAACGACCTCAAACACTCATTCCAACTTCCTGCTTCATCATGCATTATCGACGGCCTCTTGATGTGGCGTCAGCCGCGTGGAATCCATTGTCGGAAGTTGCATTTACTGACCACGAACAGACGAAGATATTGCCAACTCGGTGGAAGCTGTCTGCATTGCCAACGAGTAGCAGAGAATCTTCGAAAATCCTCACCTGCACCTTGAGCTCAGGCAGAGCAACTGTGGTTGCAACTTCACCTCACTCGCTTCCGACAGCTCAACCGATATCGTGTCGCAACGTGATTTGGTGTATGGCATTTCAACGTGACCAAACACAGCATCTGTAGGCCCTGCTACGGTCACTAGGGTACTACAAGGCCTGATTGAGGTTCTCAGCTGACCTGGGCTTCCTCCGACGATGGCCACAAACAGCGAGACACAGCACCGTGACTGTTGTTGTCGAGGCACATTCGCTTGTCGTCTATTTACAAAACACAATGAATGAGTAAACATCCATGCTAAACGCCGCCTTCATCTGACCCGTGATAGTCATTGCAATT